CAAAGTTCGTTACATAAGCTGATATATCCTCATTTTCACAGAAGTTCCGTACTATGCCAGTGTATTTCTTAAACCTCTTTTCCTCGGCGTGTAATCTTTCTTTCTCTAGTGCTGCTTCCCTTCTGGATTCATTTTCCATTTCTTGTCTTTTTAACTGTGTCTCTGCTTTCTCTTTATCTGAGTTAATCTGTGCTGCCAACCTCTCTTGTTCCAGATGTAACCTCTTCTCTTCCATCTCTTTTTGTTGAGCTAATTCTTTATCTTTATTTTCTTTCTGCAGTAGTAGTTCCTTCTCTCGAAGTACTAGTTCACGGTCTCTTGTCTCTTTCTGTAGCAGTAACTCTCTGTCTTTTGTCTCTTTCTGAAGTAGTAACTCTTTCTCTTTTGTCTCCTTCTGCAGTAATAACTCTTGTTCTTTGACACGTAGTTCGTGTTCTCTCGAAAGTCTCCTCTCGTTTCTTTCCTCTTCTGCTTTTATCTTGTCCTTCTCTTTCTCTTGTTCAGCTCTTATCTTCTCCTTCTCTATCTCCGCTGCTCTCTCTTCTGCTTTCATTTCTTTATACTTTTGGTCCACAAATTTCCTAAGCTCCTCGCCCTGTAAGCCTAACTCCTTCCCGATCGCAACCAGTTCTGCCATTCCCGACATTCTTGAATAGGATGATGAAGATTTCCTGCTACTCCTTTTGTTCCACAAATATATCTATCACACTCGACAACGATGACACAATAACAATTGAATTTAAACAAATTCAAATAAACAAATAATAAACTAAGTCGCTAACTACCGACTTAGGGATTAGCTTATCTTATTCTAATATTAATTGACAAAATCTAATTTTATTTATACTAAGTAATTACCCTCCTATTTTAATCAACTTGCACTACCCTTGCCTAGATGTAGCTGTAACTGTAGATCGGAAACCGCTGTCACTATAAGATATGTAAACTAGGACTACTGTAATGCTAACTCAATCAATAAATCACCATAGAATTATTAAAGTAAATAATTCACAATAATAAATAAATAATAATTAAATTTCCTAAGTAAACTCTAACTAATTTAATAATAAATTATTAATTTTATAAATCTCTATTTAATTATTTCACCTTTAATCTAATTAAATAAATATACTAAATAATTTTAATTAAATAATTACCTATGAATTAATTAAATACTAGTACTAAATAATTTTAATTAAATAATTACCTATGAAATTAATTAAATACTATTAAATAATTATTAAATAATTTTAATTAAATAATTACCTATGAATTAATTAATTATCTATAAATTAAATAAATAGATATAATAAATAATTATAAGATCCTATCTACTAAAGATTCTAACAAAATATATCTATGCTGAAAGCAAATGACACTGGTCCTATATAAACTTCTCAAAAATTATGATACTAATAATCATACACAATTTGTCAGCAAATTTTAGAAATAAGTAATGACGATGATGATAAATCGAATAGAAATGGTATATTTACTCCCCAAAATTTACAGAAGTAAATAATTACAAAAAATTACAACCAGAAATAAATAAAAAATAAACAATTATATCGTCCACAATAATATACTCACAACCTAATAAATTTTGGTATAAAATATAAATAATTGATAAATCAAAAAAAAAAAAAATAACTATGGTGTAAAATAATATAACCACCAAGTAATAGTTATTAATAATATAGTTATTAATAAATAAAATATCAGAAAAATCAATATTACAATAATAAATTATTGCAATATAATGAAATAAATTCAATTAAGTACGCCCATAATACCTATAAATTCAATTAATAAATAATTCTAGTTCTATTGATGTCGGTTCTAAAGTAAATCCGAAACGGTGTATTAATAACGCCAAATTGTACGCACACTTGAAAATATGTCACTTGAAACACTATTAATCTTGCGATAGTCTAAATACACTTGAAAAATCGTCACTTGACAAAAGCACTGTAAATATATCGGATTAAGTTACTTTTTCCGGCACGGCACACGATAATAGTTATATTTCTTGCTGCTTATTATCACAAACTACTACGAATTCCAACTACTTCTGATATGTCCTGAATATCTAACCTAAACACAGTTTTCCTGAATTTAATCAATGTTTACCTTATTCTGTCCCGGCTGACAATCTCACACCTGTAGGCCTGTAGTTCCGCTTGCACACACTGACCCAAATTTGCTGTGTGACCTAGTTCGCCAGTTGTAGCAAATTAGGAAATTTCTGCTAGCTTTGTCCAGTAAACGGCTAGGTAACGGCAATTTCTCAGCGCTGTTCACAGATATTTCTCAATCCACGCTGTGATGGATGGCGACCCGGAAGTCTCAGTTGACTCGTTGATCGTGAAATATTTTGTTCGCCCTTTTATTTATTCGTGGCTTTTGGCTTTCTTGTGTATCGCGCTGTCATTGTTGACGCGTAGTGGACAACTTCTTCGTCGTAAATGTCATACAGCCATTTGATCTGTTTCTCGTAGGCTTCTTGATGAATTTGCAGAACGACGCAAAGTGCCACGTAACCCAGGGCAGTCTACGTGTCCTTTAACCTTTCACCCACGTGACGACATAACCCAGCGTCAGGCGGTTACGGGTTAAATTTTGTCGCAACTGTTCGGTGATTCCAGCAACTATGCGTTTCACCAGATATCGTCTCTTACATGGCCGTCTATCACGATTTTTCCGTTTAGACTTTCAATGGAACCTCATCTGCGTGTACGTGATAGTCTCCGGTATCACTTTTCGTTGCTCCGTTGACCAAACTATCAAAACTTTCGGCTTTCACTGTGCAACTGATGTTTTTACTCGGTGACTTCACAAGCTGTGCTCTCTCAGGCAGACTCCGTCACTTATATATCAGTCGTTTGACTTCTAATGGCCCTTCAACGTCTGCGTGGCAAGTAGCAGCTCATGACATCATCTCGCCGTTGCTGTTCTGTTGCCCGGTTATCTCCGTTTTTCAAGCCTCCAATTGTAATGAATGGGTTTGTATTTCTACTCGTTGTCTAGGCGGTGTTCATGCGTGTGTGGTGGATGATATTCTCACACGCTTCACGTTACACACCTGGCACAAGCCGACACCGATGTGAGCTTACGAGACATTACTTTATTGACGTATTACAACTTACGACAAACAGAATCGTCCAGTCGATGTCTAATTGAACCGCTTTCGTACACAAACTCACGCAGCCTTTAACGAACAGTCTTCTGCAGGCATTCAAGCAACGATGGGTCCCATGGATTCAACACTGACGTTTGGACATCTCACACGCTGGCATGGTCGATCTCAGCTTAACATTTCGTCGGCAGGTCTCCTTTCTCCTCAGGCACTCACGTAGACATTCGCACATTCAGACGCTCGTCCTCTCGCTCCAACAGGTCGACACAAACTAAACTTGACCAGAGTCAAGTCTGACTTATACCACGGGTTCCTTTCACGTGACAACACGTGGTGGTCCTTTACTTTTCCCGTGGCGACCTTGGGTCGCATCACCGTGGTCCCCGTGATAACTAGTGGTTAGTCACCTATCTCCAGATTCTCGTTTAATCCAAGTATCTGGACTATCTCATTCTCTCAAAGTAGGTGTACCACTGTCTAAGCTTTCTTTATTTAACATTTAGTATTGATTATGTACCGACTTTTCTCTAATGAGTTGATTCCTGATATATATTTTTTTTAAACTAGAGCTACCTTTGCTTTCCAGCTATCCCATTCATAGTATACCATTGGAACCACCAAGAGTAGACAATTTAAAGTATTGCGTTTTTTACCTCCAGACGTTTAATAGTTTGTTGAAGGCAGGATGCCAGTGCGATTCTAGATATTCCTGGTACTGAATCCGCTACAGATGCATCTTACTTCCTAGGTATGTAAACATGTTGACTTTTAAAAAAATGTGATTGTATAGTTTGATGTCATCAGAACTATTGGTAAGATCATTTTTTCCACTGCAGTCTTAATTTTTAGACTAGTTTGTCCTGAAACATTTTAGAGATGGGTTGTTTTCTCTTAGATATCTGGGCGCGTTGAACTCAAAAGCACCATGTCCTCAGCAAAGTCAAGGTCTTCTAGAATGTTGTAACCAGATGTAAATAAACAGAGTACGTAATGATATGGATGCATGTGAGTGTGTGCCACTATACATCGCGCGTCATTTGGGACTCACAGAGATCAGTATAACCCCACCAACGCGTGGTAAGTGTCTTAATAATAAATAAGTGCGAGATTGGGAGTAGGATCTCTATAGCAGCCATACAGCGGGAGCTACGAGTTATATTCTGGCTCAGGTTAACAAAATACCCCATTCTTCTTCTGCTTAAAATGGTGGTGTCGCACACGGCGTTGTAGTTTACAGCTAAGCTGCGATATCGGAGATTTTCGGCCCAACAATCAAATTTCAGATTTCATCAGCAAAAACACACTACGTTAGACTTACTTTATTCTGTACCTGACAGCTTACCTTGCGTTTGTCGGTTTGTGATGGCAAACTATTGTTTTTGTAGCCTTTTGTACCCCATCCAGTGTCTACAACAAACAGCCCTGCCCCCGTTGTTACTGCTCCACTGCTGTCTCATATTACTGTCATTTTAATTCTTGCACTCAAACATTCATAGTTGTGTCTCGTCAGGTTGAGTTATAGAATCTTCTGCTTCTTCTTTGCTTTCATCGGCTGTAAACACAGGGGAACCTTCTGTGTTTTCGTCCATCTCTGGACCTTAGGCTTACTCCAGAACTTGAGTAGTGCATGCACATCGGTTTCACAGACCTGGCCTATTTATATGCAGACAGTTGGTACCTTGCTTCTCAGGCAAACGCATTCCTACTTCGAAGGAAGATCCCAAATAAAAGACTTTTAGGACACGCTTGATGAGAAGGCAGTGGGTCTAATATTGTTTTAACGGCCATGGGAACGCCGGAACAAAACAAAAAAAAGTAAATCAATAAATTGCCCTGCTCACCTTAAAAAAGAGATCAGTCTCACCCATCCGCCTCATTCTCTTGAAGACTTCCAAATAGTTGGGATGTCTAAGGGTCACTTCCGCTATGTTGGTATAGCCAGAGTCGATGGCCTGTAGCAGCGCTTCGTGCATGTTCTCAGGGTTGGAATGGCACAACAGTATTTCAACCATCTGCAGAATATAGGGAAACAGTAAAGTCTATAGTCTATGTTTAGGTTTAGACGACAGATCAACATCATGGCACAAGGGGAGTAACCCATAAGTCCCCCATTCTACTTCGCCTGATTGCTAAGCATCTCCGCGCAGTGCACAAACATCGGCGAGGATCCTGAAATACTTTGGGTAGATTTTCAACTCTAAATTTGATGCTATGATGCTACTCTTTTCGATTTCCAACTGCCAAGGTAATTTTTTACGAGCGCAACGATACACACTGGCGTCTGATCTTACTACCCAGAGACCAGGGGGAAATTACTAGAAGTCCACGTGAAAATATCCCAACCTTCACCGAGGCTTGAACCCACCTCCAACAAACGAGGCGGACGCCATGCCTCGAGACTACACAGCCCCTTTAGTCGAAAGTCGTTAGTTCAGGAAATGTTATGCTGGTCAGTTGTTCCCTTATTTTGTTCCGTTTTACGAAACGCTCGGTCTCTCCGTGTCTTTTTATCAGTCAAGATAAATGCACTGGATACAGTTCCCCATTCGTTTCAGTGCATTTAAGGCCTGTCCTTAATGATGAGAATACCATGGACAGATAAAAAGGGTAATGACGACGTCTGGAAAGAAACTGACTTATGAAGAGAACTGATAGGCCACATCAGAAAGAGAACAATCTTCTTTTTCTTTTTTTTGGGGGGTCATGTGGTGAGAAGGAGGAACTTGCGGTACATCGCGAGAGTTCGAAAGTTGGAGGGTAGGAGAATCAGAGGGAGACGTAGAGAACAGATGCTGGATAGTTTGAAATCATGGCGTTGAAGATTATCTGTGTCAGAGTTGATGAAAAGTACACGAAACAAAGGTTGTGGTAAGACATGACTACCAAGCGCCCCCCACCCCCCTCCCATCATAGCAGTTCAGATTTCATATAGCAAACACACACACACACACACATAACACCGGGGGATAACAAATACTAAAGTGTGATAAAAGACAGCTCATATATGGCAGAGAGGGAAAAAAACATAATCTACAACTTCCACACAGACTAGGAGTATGAACATATGAATTAAGAGCTGACATCACTGCTATCAAGACATTCCCACGCGTGCTCAGTCTCCGTGATGAGAAACAATAAGACCTTATCACGCTAACAGAGCCAGTAGCAAACCTTTGTTGTCCCCTCAGTGTCGTCCAGAACCATTGCTTACCCCTCCACACACTCTCCCTCAACCTTCATACCTGTCACTGTCACTCACTAATGTCTCCTGCCTAGTTTTCCCATCTATCGGTTATTTTCCTGAACGTTCTCTGAGTTTGACATATCAAATAATTGAAGAGCCGTTATCTCTGTCGGTGAATAAATATTTGACGCACTGCCTGCAATCAATAGATGCCATGATCAAGAACTAAGTTTAGCATAGTACAGAAACGAGCACACTAACAAGTACGCCAGTGCTGAGGAATACCAATTTTCTTCACGTGTGTATTGAAGTGAACTTCTTTGGAATCTTGTGACTGCTTATCGGTTTTGACTAAACTATAAAATTAGGATTGTTACGTCATGACTTTTCTTTAACCGGGTTCTTCTTTTTGTCTTGTTCTGCTATGCTCACGTTGTTGTTATTGTTGCTAGTAGTTGTTTCTTTATTTTCCATCGTTTTCGTTGCTTTTGTATTTCTTTCTTTCTTTCTGTCTTCTTTTTTAAGTTTTTTTTTATTATGCTTCTTCATCTGAAACTTATTAAACTCTGTTTTCATTTTACTCTTTTCCCCTCCTTCATTTATTCATCACTTCTTCTTCTTCTTCTTCTTCTTCTTCTTCTTCTTCTTCTTCTTCTTCTTCTTCTTCTTCTTCTTCTTCTTCTTCTTCTTCTTCTTCTTATTCTTATTCTTTTTCTTTTTCTTCTTCTTCTTCTTCTTCTTCTTCTTCTTCTTCTTCTTCTTCTTCTTCTTCTTCTTCTTCTTCTTCTTCTTCTTCTTCTTCTTCTTCTTCTTCTACTTCTTCTTCTTCTATTTATTACAACTACAACCACCATCATCACGTCCTCTACTGCTATGCTGCTGCCGCTACTACCACCACCACCATCACCACAGTCATAACCACCACCACCACTACACCATATTTGTTACATTGTCTTTCTCTGCCTGACAAATAGGAACAAATAAAAGTAGCTAATGTGTGCCTGTAGTCTTTGGTGTATGCTCAGTACACGTATGAGGTTTGAAGTTTGAACAACGGATCAACATCAGAGCACACAGGTAGTAACTCATAAGGGTTCTGTTCTTCTTCTAACTCAAGTCTAAGTCCAAAAAAGCTCAGCACAGTGGACAAGCTCTGTAGCACCGGCGAGGATCCCGAAATACTTTGCGTAGATTTTTAACTCAAGTGTTGCCCGGGCAGCGATGTTAGGTTACTCTTTTTGATTTCAAACTGCCAATGGATTTTTTTACGTGCGCAACAATGCACACGGGCGTCCGATCTCACTACCCAGAGACCAGGGGAAAAAGAAAAATCCTTGCCCTCACCGGGAATTGAACCCGGAACCTCCAGCACTCGATGCAGACTCTATGCTTCGAAACCACCCAGCCCCTTATATTATTGTCATAAATGCAATAAAAAAATTATAATACATATTACGATTATTTGTTTGTTTTCAACAACACAACAACAAAACAAACAAGACATCACCTGAAAATATTAGGTTATTTTCAACATGAAAAAATATAGGACTAATTCCGGAGGAGTCGCCGTGGTGCAGCGGGTAGTGGCTTGCTTACGGGTCTGAATGTTGTGGGTTAAAATGCTGAAGTCGCAGGACTTTTTTCTTCAAAAATGACTTTGGTCGACCCGGCTTTAAATAGGTACCAGGTAAAGGTTTGGAGAAGTAAAGGCGGCGGGAGTGATGCTAACCACTACACCTTACATGTGCCTATGGGTCTACAAAATGTTGGTCTAGCAAATATGCAAATGCATCCGCTTAGGCGTATGCGCATGTATGTATATATCCACGTGTGTGCACGCAAACGCGTATGCGTGCATTCAGACATGGGCCTCCAAACTGGTATGTTATGTATGTGTATGTATATATATATATATATATATATGTGTGTGTGTGTGTGTGTGTGTTTGTGTGTATGTGTGTAATTGTACAAGTGTGTCTAACTATGTGTGCCCCTTCCACAACAGACCTAACTAGGTGCTAGAGTGCCACTTCAAGCCACTAGTTTTGGCACAATTGACATTTCTCAGCCAACATAGCTGGCACAAAGAAACCAGACCACAATTATAACCTATACTGCTCTCAGTAGGTTGAACGTTGTCCATTCTTTTGTATTTGGTTTTATATCAATGAATGGGTGGTTATAAGACAAGTACATCCGAGAGCATGGAAAGGGTAATGTTTTCACTTACTTATTTAATATAGCCAACTAGTGGACGTAAATTTGCCTAGTAAAAAACAACAACGCCCCCCCCCCTCCCTACCCTCCCCCAACCCCCATTCCCACACAAAAATTCTTGGGTTGGTTCTGCAACGTCCTGTAAAGGATACGCAGCTAACTTAAACTTTTTAAATGGGAAAACTCAATAGTAATCACACTTCAAGGACATTTTGTAATACAATGAATACCTCTTTGTTTTCGTTTTTGACAGCCAGACGAAGTGGTGTTCTGCCCAGCGCGTCGGTACAGTCCACATTTAGATTTGGGAACTCCTCTAGCAGAGCTTTGACCAGTGTTACGTCACCAAATTCCACAGCGTGCAGGAACTCCTCCTCCACCTCCGGCATCTTGATGTTCTGTGCATCCTGAGGAGGGTTAGCCTCGGTTGCCATTTCAGAGAGTGTCATGGTGGTAGTTTAATGATGGCGCTCTTAGAAAGGCAGAACTTTTAGTTTTACCAGCTGAAAAGTTTCGGTTGTTGTCTGGGTTTCATTTTGAGTCTGAAAAAAAAAATAATATCAGAAACACCATTAGAAAAATGTTTGAAAAATCGTAAGTGGGCAACACACTCACTCTCACACACACGTACGCACACACACACAGGCAGAGAGAAAGAGACAGAGAGAGAGAAAGAGAGAGAGAGAGAGAGAGAGAGAGAGAGAGAGAGAGAGCTTACGTTCATCTGCGTCTCTTTACAGGAAGTTGCAGAACCAAGCAACCAAGTGGGCAACACACTCACTCTCACACACACGTACGCACACACACACAGGCAGAGAGAAAGAGACAGAGAGAGAGAAAGAGAGAGAGAGAGAGAGAGAGAGAGAGAGAGAGCTTACGTTCATCTGCGTCTCTTTACAGGAAGTTGCAGAACCAAGCGCAGCATTTTTTGTGTGTGGCTGATATGATTTTTCTAGGCAAGTTTACGTCCAGTAATTTGCCATTGCTTTTTGGACGGTCGACTTCTCGATACCACTGTTAAAACCAACGAAAGGCGCAGGGCCCGCAGCTGGAATCAAACCCGGCACCCCGGCATTACGAAGCTCGTTCACAACGCCTTAGCCACAGATGCCGTCTTATCTAGACGATCTTGTCCTTTTAACTGGCGCACTTTCAAAGAGACCGAGCTGGTTCGCAACTCTGCTGTTACTTAACGTCTTTTTGGGTAATCATTTATTGTTTTAAAATTTGATTAATTTGCCAAAAGTACTGAAAACAGTTTGTGGGTTTGGATGGATCAGGAACTGTGAAAATCAATTTGCGAGTGATCATAGCCATCGTATATATATATATATATATATATATATATATATATTATATATATATATATATATATATATATATATATATATATATATATATATATATATATATATATATATATATTCCTCTAGTAAGTGCTGATTAGGCATTTGTCGTTAACAAGGATTAGTCGTATTTATATCTATATATATAAAAATCAATGTTTGTGTGTTTGTTTCATACCTATAGACTCGGAAACTACTGAACCGATTTAGCTGAAATATTCAGGATATGTTTGTTGTGATACCGGATTTTGAACCGTCGTGGTTTGAAATTCAACCTGTCACTGTTAGAGATAGGTGACCACAATTTATGCGATAATATACGCAACTAATATTTATAACTTTAGTGATTTCTAATTATAGCCACGTTAGTAATTGCGCATGCGCCGTATTTACCATTCGCCGGCGAGTTACGTGCAGCCAACGCCTTCTCTAATACTAATACATAGAGTAGGTCGTGGTACAGCAAACAAGACTATCTCTATATTTGCCACAATAACCATATTTAACACGATTTCTATTTTCTGTTTTTTTTTTTCAAACAACCTTCGATTGGGGGGGGGGGGAATTAAGGCCTATCTCGACGTCGGCGCAGACAGTGACTGCGACAATAACTTGTCCGTGTTAGACACGTGCGATTTCTATTTCAATAATATATCTGGAGGATCTGTCTACGAGAAAACAATTGCCTGCGGTTTTGAATTGTGTTTTAATCGCGACACAGTGGTAGGGACACATATGTCTAATAGTTGTGTTCTCTTTTCGGTGTTCCGATTATGTGGCTGCTTGGTCGAATGGTTAGAATACTGGGTTCAAGTGCGGTAGACCTGGGTTCGAATCCGCAGTAGTTAATTTTTTTTTTACCCCGGACTAAAATAATATCCTCATCTGCTCTGTCGTGGTGACAGCACTAGCCATGTTGCCTTAATATTAAAAAAAAAAAATTAAAAAAAAACAGTAAATGGGTAAACCATTTGATAATTAAATTTGACCATTTCGCATACTTATGATTGCATTGTTAAACTTTCCGATTGCATGGTTACGCTGAAATTTTATAGATTTTCATTTATTTTCATTTAGATTTAGTTATTTCATCTGTGTTGGAATTTTAAGCTGTGCTGTTTACAATGGCGTTCATTTCCTAATTGTGGTGTTTTTTTCCTGTGTTCATTTGCTTTTCAAGTGTTTTTTTTTTTCCTCCCAACTACTTCAATGTGGGAAAGAGTTGCCGGTGAATTTGGGGGGAGAGGGGGGGGGGGGGGGGCCCAAACTATTCTGAGAGAGCTTTAAGTCACAGTAACTGCTTTACCCACTTAAAGTAGCAACAGCAGTAATAGTTGTGGTTGGGCTGTTACACCATAGTGCTCTCATGTGAAGACCGCCGGTAAGGTTATGGCGTTCTTCTGTCTGCAAGTGAAATTATACATCCTAACCTGACCAGTCTGTGGCGACAGCACTAGCCATGCGGAACCAAATCTTCTGGCTCACGACTCTCTGTCTACTCCGATGGTAACACAGATAGCAGTGACATTATTTTAGTAGTTGTACTGGTACTTGAAGGATGATGTGGTAAATATTTCACTAGCCCTATTCACTATGATTTTCAAATCCTTCGAAGAGGGAGAGAGCAGTAGTCGGTGGAAGAGGGGGGGTGAGCGGGGGTAATGACTTAAATTTAAGAGAACTTAAAGAGCTTTACACGTGAATTTTCAAGTTCTCATTACCTAATTTGTTTAGATTTTACTAACGATACCTCCGCTTTTCTTTTTTTTACGACTTACTTTGTTATTTACAAGTACAGTTGTAGCTTTACTTCCGTCTCTATAAAAATACAAACAGCTTTAGCATATGATAACCAAATAGCCACTTTTGTAACACAGTTTTATTAGCTGTGGTCTTTAGCTGTTGCTCCTGACATCGCTTAGCGTGAAGCGAAGACACATTTCTATGTTCTCTATTTTCCATGTAGTCAAATTACGCCACAGCAACGCGTGGCCGGGTACAGCTAGTAATTATATAAATACTAGAGTTCATCATCATCCTCATCATGTCACATAGGGCTCGCTGTCTATTCCTTCATTCAATTATGTCCTTTGCATTCCCTTTGATATCATAAATGGAATCCAGTCAAGCACCTTTCGCCTCTTTCCTCAATGTTCGTGTCTGGGTTTCTTTTGGACTTTCTAGCTTTCGTAGACCCTCTATTTCCCATGTTAGTATCTGTTTTGTGATTCTCTGCTTGTTGTTTTTATCCACCCCCCCCCCCCCCCTTGTTTTTTTCTCAGGGTGTGTCCTGCAAGTTTCTTTGACTTATAACTGTTGTTACCAGGGGTTAGCGCAAACAGTCAATCACTATTGCCAGCGTGCACTAGCAAAATCAAACGTCGTTCAGAACGTCATCGGCCACCTACCAGTATAATGCAGTTTACGACAAGCCACGGGCACAACATGGGAGATCGGGTCACCCACTGGCGCGCAGTTAGACAACGTCTTCGCCGGTTGGGACAGTATTTATGTCTGTCTCCTTTGATCGCATTAACATTGCAGGAGTCCTTTTCAGGGCTTTCAGTGGCATGCCATGATAAGACATTTTACATGGCGCAAATAACTTAGTCACAATTATAACCTAAACCTTCCCCTTTAGTGGTACTGGCTGAACGTGACGATTCCTCTCCCCCCCCCCCCGGCTGAACGTGACGATCTCATCCCCCCCCCCCCCCCCCCTAGCAAAGCAAAGCACGGGAACAACAGACACAAACATTCAAATTGGAATCCACAGCTCAAAGTTGCTGGGTGTGGGAAACTTTAGACTCCCGGTCGAGAAATTGGGAACTTTCATCAGTAAAATCATCATCATCATCATGTAGCAGGTCCTTTGCAGAACGTTGCTCTCATCACGGTCTGCATGAAAGAAACTCGGTCTCTCGCCAGCTCTCCCGCCTCATGTACTTTCATACTCAAGAAGTCAAATGTTTTCTGTGCCCATCTTCTTGTTGGTCAGCCCCTGCCTCTCTTTCCTAATACCATGTTTTCTGCAATTCTTTTTTTTTTTCCAATCCGTCGTGACGCTTTATATTACCCAAATATTTCAGCTGACGTAAAAACTAGTTAGATATAAATAACTTTTCACAGATTCAGCGGTCAGTCGGCTGTCTGCCATTTTGATCACCGCAAATAAAATAAAAAGTGACCAAGAAGAAAGAAGTACGTCACTCATAAACAACATGTTGGTACCTTGCTATCTTTTCAGATAATAGTGTTATTATTAGAAGCAGCGGGAATAACGGTACATGGCGATAAAGAATGTTTCTAGCAAAACCAGCCCTCTTTAAAGAAGACTTCCGCAAATGGAGCATGGGAAATTTCAGGACAAAAGTTACTTTTGCATTTATACCGTGCATCACGTGCGTCTTCACGGATGATGACCTCTTAACCTATCTGCAATCATTTTCTTCTTTATCCCAAGTCCATTCCCAATCTCCCTCCTCTCCCAATTTTTCCATGGGACTCTGCTTTCTATTCGGCACAAAAATATCTTATGGTTCCTAATGAAGTCTGACATATTTTATTTACATACTTATGTTTCAGTTTAAAGGGTCAGTACTGAAGCTACATGCTGTGTTTTGTGCAACCATTCTCGTGAGTGGCGTCACGGAGAGGCATTGAGTGTAGATAAAACCTTCCCGTCGTGTGGGTTCCGGGACCCCATTTATGAGAGGTGGGGGGATGCACCCATTGTTTCCCTAACAATCATCTCGTGAAAGGCAACTAATTATAGCATATTCCTTCGAAGTGTGCAAATGCCTGAGAGGAGAGGCTCCAACAGTCTGCATGCAAAAAAAAAAAGCTAGATCTGTAAAACGGCTTTGCACGTACAATCCAACTTCTAAAACAAGACCAAAGTCCAGAAGTAGACAAAAAACCATAAATTTCCAGCGATGTTTAAAGTCCGTGAATGCTAAGCAGTAAAAAAAGGATAAAATCCTGCTCAATAAAGTGGACCTTCTAGTGTTTGAATATCTTTATCGTGTCTATATTGTTTTGCA